TGCTTTGCAAATTTAAGCTTCTTTGCAGTTTCCTAATAATTAACATTTTTGTTGATTCACTTTGGATTTCCACCATTAATATCCTTCCGTTGTCTGAGACAAAAATTAGTTTTTGCTCCAGTTCTTTCTTTATATACATAGCCACACCTTTCTTCTTTTTATTTATGTCTGAAGCTGCAAACAAATTTCCTAATCATGAACATTCCAGCAGTTTCTGATCTGTTCTTTTCATATGGGTTTCTGGTATGCAAATTACATCAGATTTCTGTTTCTGCAGTTGTAGAAAGGTCTTTTTCCGTTTTTCAGGTGAATTTAGGCCATTTATGTTAACTGAAAAGATCTTCATTTGTTTTTAGTCATCTTGTTGGTTACTACCTTTCTGTTTTTTCTTCGTCATGCCTCTTGTATGTCTTGGCTCAGCTACTTCCTGTTTTTCTGGCTCTGTGTCTGATTCTGATTGTGATGAGTGGTCTGATTTCTCTTGAGGTCTTTCTTCTGATTTCCCCTCCTTCTTTTTCCCTGTTTTATCAGTTTCTTCTCATTTTTTTCCATAAAGGCTTGCGCTTTCATCAGTGAAGTTATATTGTTTCTCTGTGTATCAATTCGAAAGAATAAACCTTCTGGTGTTAGCCATCTATATGAAATTCCATTTTGTTGAAGTAAAGATGTAAGGGAGGAGTACTGCTTCCTTCTCTGCCTCATTTGCCAGGGAATTTGTTTTAGGACATTAATTTTCCTGTCTTCTATTATCGTTTATCTTGTGAGCCTCTTAAAACTTTGTCTCTAATTGATTTCTTCGTAAATCTCACGTGGATTTCTTTGGGGAGATTATTTCTTCTTGCATATGCTTAATTCACCCTGTAAGATGCCTCCATATATTGTTGCAAGTCAGCTGCTTCCATCCCTATTTCTGCAACCAAAGCCTTACTCATTAATATCTCTAGATCCTCCCCTTCCTTTTCTGCCACATTTTCATATCTAAGCATCTTCCGTGCTCTCTCCATCTCTAGCATTATTAATCTGTTGTCACTCTGTTTTTGATTCATCTGTACTGTGTCTAATGTTTCTTCAGTTTGATTCACTCTAGCATCTGTTCCCCTCACTTTTTCCTCAAGATCTTGTGCCTTTGCTTTGTTTTCAGCTATCTATTGAAATCTCTAATGCCATCTTACTGGGCCTTTTTAAAAAGGGGGCAGGGTCCTGATTCCTGTTTCAGAAGGAAAAATGTGTGTGTGCGCATGTATACACAATATACAGTGGTGCCTCGCTAGACGATGTTAATTCGTTCCACGGAAATTGCTGTCTTGCAAAAACATTGTCTTGCAAAACGCAGTTCCCCATAGGAATGCATTGAAATCTACCATATTGGGGAAAAGCAATCCCCTCAACTGCACTGCCTTTAGAAATGCAGTGGGTCTCAGATAGCCTCCCCCCTCTTTCTCTCTCCAGCAGCAAAGAAAGAGGGTGAAAGGAGTCACAACAGCCCCCTGGCTCCTGATCATGGTGACTTTGCCACTGGGGAGAAAAAGAGGGAGAATGCAATACATCACCAGGACTTGCAATAGGTCCTGATGAGGGATAAAAAAGAGATGAAAAGGATTCTAGAAAGACCAGGGAAAACACAAATGCAATCTCCCATTGCCACAAATTATGCAGTTGAGTTCTTCACATTTGGGGAAATCACAGGGATCAGCACACCTGAAGTGCAATGACTGAGCCTCACCCTGGGAAAACTTTACCTGTGCACTAGAGGATTGTGGGAGTAACACCCAGCCCCTGATGGGGGTCCCACAGGGCACCAACAAACACTAAGGAGCTCTCTTGGACTCTGGCAGGACTGGGGCTGTGCAGCCCTGTTCTGAGCAGGAGGTGCAGCCAGGGGGTCACCATGCCTTGGGGGGCAGGGCACAGAAGGGAGTAGGAGGTGCAAAGGCCACTCCAACTCATACCTTTCATGGTCATGAAAGTGGTTTTCCCAGGGTGAGGCTCATCCATTGCACTTCAGGTGTGCTGATCCCTGTGATTTCCCCAAATGTGAAGAACTCAACTGCATAATTTGTGGCAATGGGAGATTGCATTTGTGTTTTCCCTGGTCTTTCTAGAATCCTTTTCATCTCTTTTTTATCCCTCATCAGGACCTATTGCAAGTCCTGGTGATGTATTGCATTCTCCCTCTTTTTCTTCCCAGTGGCAAAGTCACCATGATCGGGAGCCAGGGGGCTGTTTTGACTCCTTTCACCCTCCTTCTTTGCTGCTGGAGAGAGAAAGAGGGGGAAGGCTATCTGAGACCCACTGCATTTCTAAAGGCAGTGCAGGTGAGGGGATTGCTTTTCCCCAATATGGTAGATTTGAATGCATTCCTATGGGGAACTGTGTTTTGCAAGACGATGTTTTCTATGGATGATTATCGCAAGACAGTGATTTTTTCCCCCATTGGAACACATTAAATAGATGTCAGTGCATTCCTATGGAGAACTGCGTTTTGCAAGACATGTTTTGGCAAGACAGCAATTTCCGTGGAACGAATTAACATCACCTTGCGAGGCACCACTGTATATGATTAGATATATATGGAAGAAGCATAGATGTTTTATACACACGCACACACACACACACACACACATCCATCAGATCTCAACAAATTATATTAATTGGAATGAGAAAGATAGATATTTACAAAAGCAGAAACTTATTATTGCTTCTCCCTGGCCAATTTTACCCAGCTTCATCCCAGTAAACATACTATACCTTTTTGTTGTTTTCAGAAGTAGGACTGAGAATAGTAAGCTCTGGTTTACTTGGTTTAGGCTTGGGAGATTCACAGGAATTAATAAAGTTTATAATAAATGGCTCCAAGTGCTGGCCTTTCTGAAATTAACCAAACAATAGCCATAATGTGCAAGTTTTCAAAATAAGAATTGTTTGAGATGAATCCACAAGTAATTTTCAATAAAATGTATTAATTATAAAGAAGAAAAATACCACATACCTCTTTCATTAATTTTCCAGGAACAGATTTTATAATTTTGCCTGCAATTGAAAATTAAAAGAAAAACATCATTTATTTCGCTTTCTCAGTAAACATAGCTACATTCTTTCGCTAATTTTATCAGCACTAAATTTATCTTTTGGTCTGTTTTGAAAGACTGTTTAAGCAGCAACTCCGACCATATAAAACATTTATTATTTATATTTATTTATTTGTGTGTTTGTTCAGCTTCTATACCACCCATCTGGCAACAAGGCCACTTTGGGTGGTTTAAAATTAAAAAACAAAACAAAACATCTACTCCCCTTACTGTTCAGCCAGGCTTGATCACACTATATTAAGGTTCAAATGTCTTTTTGATTATGAATGTTGTTTATTTTGATTGTGCTGTTTTTATTGTTATTTAATGATATTTTATGATTTTGTAAGCCACCCTGAGTAGACGCTGTCTAGGGGGGCGGGGTATAAATCGAATGAATAAATAAAATAAAATAAAATAAATTGTGTGTAACTAAACAAGAAGAAACCAACAATAATCACAGGCAGAGACTAATATTCCACTTATTTCAATTCATTTATAAGATATTCTCATTGCATCAACTTTTGCTCAGAATCATCAAGTTGCCTAGCAACTTCCAAATTACTCTCTGGTCAGTCTACACCTTTAAATTGATACACAGAGAAAGTAAGGTGAAGGTAAAGGTTCCCCTTGACAATTTTTGTCCAGTCATGTTCGACTCTAGGGGGCGGTGCTCATCCCCGTTTCCAAGCCATAGAGCCAGCGTTTTGTCCAAAGACAATCTTCCGTGGTCACATGGCCAGTGTAACGTAGACACAGAACGCTGTTACCTTCCCACTGAGGTGGTCCCTATTTATCTACTCGCATTTGCATGCTTTCGAACCGCTAGGTTGGCGGGAGCTGGGACAAGCAACGGGAGCTCACTCCGTCGCGTGGATTCAATCTTACGACTTCTTGGTCTTCTGACCCTGCAGGACAGGCTTCTGCGGTTTAGCCCGCAGCGCCACAAAGAAAATACCTAAGGTCAAATGCCATGGCAATTTGGAACGCCAAAGTGAATAAAAACTCCATTTGTGGAAGACTTTTGAATAAGGCAGATGCTCCAAGTGGTGGAAGAACTGCCAAGGAGGATTTCCCCTCACCTCAATTCCCTCCTTTACTACCTCCCAAGTTGTGATGAAGGGCTTCCCAACCCCTCCCTCAGCACCTATTAAGAAGAAACAGGTACTTTCAGAAGAAATTGTGAAAAATCACCTAGTTCTGTTAGCAGAATCATCCCATGAGCTGAGATCAGATCATGGGATCTCCAGATCCAAGCCACCTACCTTAGCATAGCTTAAAAACAATGACCTTAGTCCAGCTGGTACTCCCAACCAGAAACAACCCTCTGTATTGGTTGGATTTATACCGTGTTGAAGCATTCCTCAGCAACTGATTCAATAAGTCTACTCTAGTTGGGACTAACAATTAGATTTAAGCCTTTTGATTTACACAAGCTATTCATTATACTCCCATTTACTACAATGTGCCAAGGGGGGGGGGGTGGTGTTCTTGCAGAGACCAGACAGAAATTCCCTTGCCATGCCCCCACAACATCCAGAGGCACTGAAGGGACCACTCACAGCAACATCTTTTATTCTGTAAAAACCACCACACTGAAGTTCAGATGGATGATAGAAAAACATTCTGGGTGCATGACAAGGGACATAATACTTAGTCTACACAACATCTGTACCTAGATGAACTTTGTACATACCAAGATTTACATCAGGCAACATTTTATCAAGAAACTGTGTCTCTCCACCATTAGGGGATAAAAAGTCAGCTAAAAGCTGGCTGTTGCTTAGCTCCGGATGTTGTGAAAGTTTCTTTGAAGGAGACAAAAAGGGGGAAAAATGAGATTGAGCTCACATCACCTTTTCTCTAGCAATGACAACTTAGAAGTTAATTTTAACATTATGTTAGATAAAGATAACAATTTGCATAAGAAAACCATTTTGATCCTGGTTACCTGAAATGTATGTGAATAGCAGGTAACATTGTTCAGCCATAAAGCTGATGTAGGACCTGTTTGTGTTATGCAGGCAAAGACACACCTGTGGCTCCAGTTTTCTGGCCCCTACCTGCAAGTATTCCTGAAACTCTTCTCTCTTTGACTTTAAGAATTCATAATTCTTTGGTCCAATTATCCTCTTTGAAGGTAGTTGAGCATCAGGGAATGTACCTGATAATATGGCAAAATTCAAATAAATCAGAGCCAAGCTTTATTTTCAGTTTCATTGTTTTACAAAAACCAACTACTGTACAGAAGTGGGGAGAGGGGGAGGTGCAGACGTACCATGAAATTCTGTTAGCTTTGATTCAAGAACATAAAATTCAAGATATCTTCTGTAGACAGACCAGTGTTCAGGTTTATGTCCAACTGAAAATACAAACACGTGCATGATTTCCTCTTTTGTCTTACCAGGAAAGGTTAAAGGGTTCTGTATGCAAACATAAAAATCCAACAGAAAGGGCAACATTCCTCAAAACTATTAAAAGTTACTATTGGCAACAATTACTTACTGCAGTCCAAACACTACTGCAGCACATTTAAACATATTTAAGGAACATATCTTAACCAGAATGGATGCAATGTTCCAGAATAATACAGGTTTTGGACAATATACAGTGGGGTCTTGACTTAAGAACGGCTTGAGTTAAGACCATTTTGACTTAAGAACCACTCTCATAGGAAAATATTGACTTGACTTACATACTTAGATTTGAGTTAAGAACTGAAAAAAAACCACGTGGGAGGCAGGGAAAGTGCAAAATTTGAACTTTCAGTTAACTGTTGGCCAGTGAAAAGGGTGCCTGTCTGCTTCCTCACTCCTCCCAGCATTTAGAGAGTGGATTGGGAGTCTTCAGACTGCCTGGACTGTATTTTCCCTGCGTTCCCTGAACCTTTCTTGACCTAAGAAAAAAAGAAAAAATATCCCCCTCTAGTGGCCGAAGGCAGAATAGCAGCTTCCCATTAGTTTCTATGGACGGAAAAGAGCAGATACGGATCAAATGTTTTTCAATGGATTCCTATGGGAAATGCAGATTTGACCTGAGAACTTTTTGACTTGAGAACCACCTTCCAATACGGATTGAGTTCTCAAGTCAAGACCCCACTGTACTCAAGTTTGTTTGTTCTTTACATTTTTGCAGCTGAATCTCTCTCAGAAATATGAGGGGCTAATGCTATATGCATATAAAGAACTTGGAATCATTAAGTTTTTCAACTACAGCTCCTAGAATCTCAAAGCAAGCATGTTAGTGACCATGCTATCTTGGGATTTTAAGAGCCATAGTCCAAAAGCTACTCATCGACATTCTAGTCTAAGCATCAGGTAGGGACCCATATCCTCCTCAGAGGCCTACCTGCTGTTCTGTCATTCCTCTCCACATCAATACAAAACACTGGAATTCTCTCTCTCTTCTCTTTCCTTTCAAAAGAGTCCTCAAAGAAGTCCACATATGGGATAGTAATTTTCCAAGCAGCAAGATTACGAGGGGTATTGGGTGTGCTAAGCGCCTCCACAGGAGAATCATCTTCCATTACCATGATGCCTTCTTCAATCTACAGTGAAAAACTCATGTATCAAGGGACCACTCTGAGCTAAATTATGAATATAAAAGTTATCACAATATTCACAAAAATGAAAAAAAAATGTAAAATCCCATTCATAGTTTCAAGTGATGTGCAAAAAATATCTGATTTTGTTACTGAATATGCTTTATCATTTAACAATTTGGAGCTTCTTCTTCCAGCTTTATCATATACACAAATCTTTCAGCTAAATGGCCAAGAATAAATTAGCTATAATTTCTAAAACTGTGTGCAAATAAAATTATGAATATAATTATAACATACAAATAAATATAACTGTATATCAGATATATTTAGTTCTGAAAAAAATGCAATATTCTTTTTTTATCCTAACAGACTGAAGCTTCTCCTTTGGAAATTAAGTCTTGGAGTACAGTCTATATCAAAAATATTTAGGGTGGAGCTACTATTCTCCCCATGCATAATCACAACATACATCTGGAAGTTGGTTATGGAGGACTTTGTTTTAAAAAACTGGAATTCAGCCCTAACATTTCAAAATGACAGCTAGAGCTGAGAAAACAATCGAAACAAACACTGAAATTTTGGGATAAAAATCACCTCAAGTATTTGGGACACAAGGTATCAATTATTCTAATAATGAAACAGAATCCACAAAACACATCGGCCAAAACTCTGTTGGCATAATTACACCCGCAGAAGGCTGATGATCGTACAACACCAACAATGTTTTGGTAATTAAAGACTTCCTCCACCTGTCCTGCAGCTCCCATGGCTGCCACACAATGAAAGGGATTACATGGGAGCTGCAGGACAGAAGTAAGAATGTTTTTATTTCTGAAAACTGTCCCATGCTGATGACATTATCAGCCTTTTGCAGGCATATTTATGCCAATAGGATTTCAGTCACTGGCTTGTATCCCAAATTGCCCTTTGGTAAACAGAAGTGCTTCTTCTGGTCACTGAAGGAACACTTGCTTGTGGGGAAGAAGGAACCATTTTCATCAATTATTTCTTATCCACCCTGCATCAAACCCCAGTGTTTCAGAAGATACCCAACCAATTTTAAAAATTTTCATGGGGCACATGAGGAAAAGAAAACCAGCAAATTCCCCTCCTCTGAAAGATTTTGTGGTTTTTTGTTTTTTGGTTTTTTGGCCATTTGTAGCCTACGCTCCAAAAAACTCTTTTTGTTGATTTCTTATGAAGAAGCAGACACTCAAATACAGTAAGATACTAAAACACACCTAAGCTTAAAAAACCCCCACCAAACTCAAATTACACACATGAACAGTTCCTTGCTGACAATATCTGTGCCACATTCAGAACAAATCATTTATAAAATGTTCGACTATACAGGCAGTTGAACTGCTGCTTGAATTATTTGACAAACGGGGTCATATTAACTTAGCTACTACCAAGTATACTAGCATAAAAGAAAGAAACTGAAAAAAGGACAACGAAAGTGATAGTCTGCATTTATTAAACTGTATTACTGTAGTCATTGTTCTGTATTTTCCAAGAAAACTGCCAGTGTCTTATAGTGCAAAAATATTGTGCCTTTATTGTTTGCCTCTCACCATGCCTACATACATGTGTGTATGTTTCTGACATTCCTTAATGCTGTAGTGTATGTAGTCTGCAGGAAGAGATAAAGGGGCTTCCTTGTAACCTTGAAAAAGGGGCCATCGGCAGGGCCTGGACAATACCATGTTGGATACAATGTTGTGAGGACTGTGATTCTTGAAAGGGTTGTCCATGACACTTCAAAAGCAAGTATAACATAAGAATGTACCACTGAGCTCACACTCTTTGTAGTATAAAGAGCAGATACAACCAGCCCTTTGAGGGCAAGTATAATGCCGACGCGGCCCAAGATGAAATTCAGATTGACACCTCTGCTCTATAGCAGTGGTTCTTAACCTTGGGTTACTCAGGTGTTTTTGGGCTGCAACTCCCAGAAGCCTTCACCACCAGTTGTGCTGGCTGGGATTTCTGGGAGTTGCAGTTCAAAAATACCTGTGTAACCCAAGGTTAAGAACCACTGCTCTATAGCAGAAGAAACTGATCAGCTAAGGTATAAGGGTTTGTCGCTGTCTTTGTTAAGGGCTTTTGCTTGCCTTTAGAGCACAGCCACTAGCGTGCCTCTTTTGGCTCCAATAAAATTGCACTGCACTACGCTGGTCTCTGTTTCTTGGTCTTCTGCCAGGTACTTCCCGATTTAAGCTAGGTCACAAGAAGGGAAGGGAAGAAAAAGATGTGCAAAATAAAATGGCTTGTTGAGGAAGCAGCCAGGATAAAGGATTGCTCACAAAGTCATCCTCGCCTTCAGCCAGGCCATAGCTGGGCAGCACAGCTCCTTCCATCGTGGTACTCTTGAACACGCCTTTAATTTTGCTGCTTATGCTTCTGATTCCAGATTCTCCCTTCTTTTGAGAGCTCCTGCATATAATAAACAGGGAAACCGCACACTTCATAGAATTCCAAGAAAAAAAACACATTTTTCAAAGGGGAACATGTAAACAACTCTATCACTGTAACAGCCCCAGCTAAGAAAAAAACACCCATGAACAGAAAGAAGGTTCCTGCTTATGAATCCACTGATAGACCAAAAAAAAGGGCTTTAGAATGAGAAAACAGAAAGACTATATCCAGCATTCAGGTTCTTGTACAGTACTTAGGCACACACAGATGTCTGATGTTGCCTGATCAGACAATACTGGTTAGGTGATGGGCGAAAAGGGCGAATGCAGACATAAAAAAAGGAAGTGCTTAATATTTTGATTTTTTTTAAAAAAAAAAATTATTATGTTATATCCGGCTGTGTCCCAGCAGGCAGGCAGTATTTAAGAATGCTTGCTAACAGATTCCTACATTTAAGAAAACTGACCATGAAATGGTATGCATTAAGCCAAGCCAGACATCACTTTTGCTAACATTTTAAAGAAGACAGGAATACAAACTTGCTTACAGGATTTCTACATGAATTCAGCTTGGAAATCATTTTCCATGTATGTAAAATTGTGTGGTCAAATGATAATGCTACAAAGACAGGAAGATACCATCACAAAGAGATGCTGTATAAACAGGTAACATCAATGGCATCTCAGCTTGACTTACAGAAAATCACCTCAAGAACAATAGGCAAATAATATTACTCCAATATTCAGGAAAAGAAGTGCCTCTGACCTCAAACAGCGCAAGTCAGAATGCTTGTTCCAACTATCATGACTGCAGTTGCTAGCCATGGTTCTATTTTCTGATCCGCAGACAGTACTCTGATGTGGCACCTGCTTGTGTAAAAACTAAGAATGCTTTGATTTATACACTCTTTTGCATCCCAGTGACGCTTGCTCAAAGCTGATCTTACACAGCATGCATTTAGCTGAACAGTGAACAGAAGCCATTACAGAAGCCAAGTGGAACCTGAACTGTATAGCAAGGTCTGGTTCCTTTGTGAGAACTCTGAAACAATGTTATAGCAGGATTAGGTATTTTGTTCCCCAGAGAGCTTAGCCCAGGTGGTTTTTACAATTACTGGAAAAGGACAACACAAACAGGTATTGCTTGTCCCATAATTTCACTTGCATGCCAGGAAAACTGCTAATGACCTCATTTTAGCCAGTCAGTTCTTGCAAATAGTTGGTGACACCATTTGCTTAATGAAAGCCAGTGGTGAAGAATGCCTTACTTTAGGGCAAGAAGGCATCTATTCTTGTGCCCCGGCACAATAACCATTGAATAACTATTCAGTAATGTTTATGTGGATTCCGACCAACACTTAAGGTAGGGGTGGGGATGTTTTCGCCCTCAGTGCTTGTTTAGAGGGCACAGACACTATGTGTCTCTCCAGAATTAAAGTTTCAGCCTGTCTAAGGCCTTGCTGCACAGATAAAAGGCACATTCCCCTTTATAGAAATACTTTTGCATTGTTTCTGAGTTTAAAATAGTGCAAGTAGCCCCTTTTTATGTATGTAGGATTTTTATTATAATAATATATTTTATTGAATAAGTTTTAAAGTTAAACTTTGAAAAGAAAATCCATAGTTGGTACAATGGGCCATGCAGGTTTTCCAAAAATAGCCTCATGTGGAAAAAAATATCTGTGGACACAATGCAAAACAATGATGTGAAACACTAAAACCAGGTGCATTCTATATGAGTTTAATATTGAAAACTACATATTTTTAAAATGGGTAAAAACTCACAAAAATCTAATAGCTAAAATCTGGCTTGCTTATGCCATCACATAAGCATGATTACTTAAGCATCCCCCCGCCCCCTTGCAGGCTTACCTTAGCATACCTGCTTTCATACTAGTTACAAAATCAAGTGCACAGATGGTTACATTAACCAATTGCATAAAAGGGAATCAGAAAGAGAAAAACCACCATAGAATTTCCCTTGCTTTTCCTCAACAGGATTTTGTCTAATATAAAATATGGGATAAGTTGTTGTAGTTGTTTAGTCATTAAGTCATGTTCGACTCTTCGTGACCCCATGGGCCAGAGCATGCCAGGCCCTCCTGTCTTCCATTGCCTCCCGGAATTGGGTCAAATTCATGGTGGTAGTTTTGATGACTGTCCAGCCATCTCGTCCTCTGTCGTCCCATTCTCCTCTTGCCTTCACACTTTCCCAACATCAGGGTCTTTTCCAGGGAGTCTTCTCTTCTCATGAGATGGCCAAAGAATTGGAGCCTCAGCTTCAGGATCTGTCCTTCCAGTGAGCACTCAGGGTTGATTTCCTTCAGAACGGATAGGTTTGTTCTCCTTGCAGTTCAGGGGACTCTCAAGAGTCTCCTCCAGCACCACAATTCAAAAGCATCAATTCTTTGGTGGTCAGCCTTCTTTATGGCCCAGTTCTCACTTTCGCTACTGGAAAAACCATAGCTTTGACTAGGTGGACATTTGTCGGCAAGGTGATGTCTCTGCTTTTTAAGATGCTGTCTAGGTTTGCCATTGCTTTCCTCCCAAGAAGCAGGAGTCTTTTAATTTCGTGGCTGCTGTCACCATCTGCAGTGATCGTGGAGCCCAAGATAGTAAAATCTGTCACTGCTTCCATATCTTCCACTTCTATTTGCCAGGAGGTGATGGGACCCCATTCAGCATTAAAGTTTTTTTGATGCTGAATGGGGATAAGTTATTCATATGCAATTATCCTAGCAAAATAGGAGACTGATATTTAAACATAGACCACATTCAAATGCATTTCCACTAAGAAGACACTACCCGAACATCCTGTTGCAAGCAACAGCAACTTCCATCAGAGGTGTCCTTCTAGATTTTTGACATATAAACCAGAAACTCTATCTTGTTTCTTAGAAGTAAACCCAGAAACATAAATTAAAGACAAATCATGTTTAAAGTCCTTACACTTTTTATGGGTAAAGACAAACCGAAGTTCCTGGCTTCCATGCCACCATCTGTAAACCATGGAGAGAAAGTCGCAATTCATTCCTGCCTGCCTGCCTACCTCTGGGAGCAGGCAAGCAGCAGTGGCTCAGCCGCACTCTTTTAAAAACATGGCCCACCCAAATGAGCCCCTTCATAACTTCCAGGAAAGAGGCAAGTCAGTTTAAATCAAAACAATCACTAGCAAAGCAACCACTAAGAATAACAGGACTCTTATGGTCACTAAACACATGAAGATGATCTGACACACCCTGAGTGTGGTCAAGTCTTGTGCAGGCACAATGGACTTCCCAACATTCAGGAGGGGGGGGGGGGAGATGGGAGTCCCTGCCTACCATAACATGTCGGGAAAATATATACTCAGGGCTCTGCTTCCCAGTCCCTGAGTACAAATCAGGTTTGAGAGCATTTGTCTCTATATGAAAACACTGACCCCTTCAGGAATAAAGTGTTCAAACAACTGTAACCAAAGCAGTGCAAACTAAATGCATGCCAAATGAGGCCTAATTCAAGCACCGTGCACTCTGTATCAGTGAAAGAATGTCTCCCTTGCATTTTTTACATGTACATAACCTTTTTAGAAACACAGGAAGTTTAAGTCCACTCCTTAAAAAATACCCATGGCTGCCTTTATAAATTTAAAAAATCACTAGTTGGTTACAAATATAAACCCATAATTTGTTTTAATTAGACCAAAAATTGTGAATGTGTTCATTGCACATGTTTACATGTAATAATAATTGTGTGCCACCAAGTCAATTCTGATTTATGGCAACTCTTTTTCAGGGTTTCCCAGGTAGAGAGTATTCGGAAGTACTGGTTTACCATTCCCTTCCTTCTGGTGATTATTAAGGACTGTGTAGCTTGCCCAAAGCCACACAGACCAGATCGACTTGCAGGAAACATAGTTGTGAATCAAACTCCCAACTTCTAGCTGTGCAGCCAGAACCCTTACCCTATCCAGCCTGCTACAATCTTTATTATGCCTTATTATTATGGCAATCTTTCAGTTACTTGAATGTACTGGCTTTCCCCCCTCATCGTTGCTTGTGAAAGAAAGACTATTATGACAAATGTGATGCAGTGAATCTGAATAAAGAATACTTTATATAATACTGTATACTTGATTCTCACAGTGAAGTTTATTACAAGCTGAACATATGTGACAGCTATGTTATTGAAAACACTCAACATACACAAATATAATATACTCACTTTGATTTGGAATTGCGTGTTGGGGATTCATCTTCTTTTAAGAGATATCTGAAAAACTAAGCCAGGGGAAGGGGGAGATCATGAACTGCTTTTAATATATATCTCTATAATAAAGCAAAAGAAAATCTAATCAAAATTGACATAGACAGATAAAGAATCCATTTAAACCCAGCAGGTGTAACAATGCAGTAACTGAAAATCTGGAATATACAATTTGGAAACTGTAGCACTTAGAAAAGTTACTCAGGAATTGCTGCACCTCAATATTTAACAGCAGGGCTCTGTTGATCGTCTCACGGAATAGGCAGAAATATATGGAAAGAAGCAGTACTCATGATACTACAGACTAGAAATTAAGCAGTGGTCCCCAACCTTGGCCCTTCAGATGTTCTTAGACTACAGATCCCAGAAGCCTTCACCACCAGCTCTGCTGGCCAGGATTTCTGGGAGTTGAAGTCCAAGAACATCTGGAGGCCCAAGGTTGGACACCACTGGGTATTCATATTTGTATACAAATATGAACATCCCCACATAGCTGGAGTTAACAAGGGTCCGCCCCCTGGGGCCAAACTGTCCGTTCACGTGTCCACTGGAGGCCTCACTCATCCTTCCAATCACTCCTGGAGTCCTGCTCTCTTCCTGCTCAGCTAGCCAGCCCACGGAAGGGGAGGGAGGATGAGTCTCCCTGCATGACTGATGAGCTGCTACCCAAACAAGACGAGAGCGGCACTCCAGGAGTGATTGGAAGGATGAACAAGGCTGCCGCCACTGCCAGATGCATGAGTGGATGGTCTGGCCCCAGGAGCAGACCCTCCTTAACTCCAGCTGCACGGGGATATTCATACGAATACCCCCATCTCTACTACAGACCAAAACCATGAAGGGCTTTTACAGATTAAAGCCAGCACATTAATTGGGAGACAAACTGAGAATCAGTATAGATTGTACCTGACCACACAGTGACACAGATGGATCCATAGTTATCCCAAGTTACAATCTTGATCCTTGAAGAAGACCTTTAGTACCAAAGTTTGAACTGCCTTTGGCACCTGGCCAGCAGGCCAGATGAAAGCAAGTGGAGGTATGCCTCTCCATGCTCCTTCTTTGGCATCCTGAACCCCCTCACTCATGGGCACTTTATAGTTTGGAAATAACATGTTACCTGTAGCAATGTTGCTTGTAACACCAAGTAACTTAAAGATACATATATAGCGTAAATACTAATCTAGCAAAATCCACAAATGTAAGATCAGTGTATTCTATTTTAAATGGTAAAGGTAAAGGTTCCCCTTGACATTTAGTCCAGTCGTGTCCCACTCTAGGGGGCGGTGCTCATCCCCGTTTCCAAGCCATAGAGCCAGCATTTGTCCGAAGACAGTTTCCGTGGTCACATGGCCAGAGTGACTAGACACAGAACGCCGTTACCTTCCCGCCGAGGTGGTCCCTATTTATCTACTCGCATGTTTACATGCTTTCAAACTGCTAGGTTGGCAGGAGCTGGGACAAGCAACGGGAGCTCACTCCATCGCATGGATTTGATCTTACAACTGCTGGTCTTCCGACCCTGCAGCACAGAGGTTTTTGCGGTTTAACCCACAGCGCCACCACGTCCCTTGTTTTAAATGAGGAGAGATTAAAAAACAGATGGAAAAACTATACGATACTAGACAAGGGATTTTTGGACTATGGTCCCAGAAGTCTGCCGGAATTCCTCCCATCACATTTCTGGTGGCTTTAAATTGTACAAGTATTTTTTAAAAAGTAACATATTAGCAATATACTACTAATCTGTAACAACAATCAGTATTTGCAACAAATGCATAAGGCCACTTTCTAAATAAGTAACATGAACACATGAGCTTTTTGTGACAACGTTTGCTCTCTGAGAGCCATTTCATTTTTCTTAGTGCAGAGAGAAGCATGGAACACCAAGGCTAGATTTCTAGGAAATTTAAAAATCCATCTGAACAAGACTTTCAACAAGATAATCCTCTAGCTTACTTCATCGGTGTGGCAGAACCTAGGTATGTAGACAGTCTCTAAGAGTGAGAAAACATGTTCAAAGGCTTCATAGAAGCACCGCATTGTTTGTAGCTTCACAACTTCACTATATGGGCCTTCAGCAACTACGGGGGAAAAATGAGAAATATTAGTAAGAACCATCAGCAGCATAACATGTCTGCAATACACAAACTATCAAGCAGATCGAACTCATCATTCAGTTCACTTTGCTGTTTTCTTTTTCAGCTAAACTAGGAAGTTGCCCAGTGTCAAGGAAGAACAGGATTTTTGTTAGTACCCTGTTTCCCAGAAAATAAGATAGGGTCTTATACTCATTTTTGCTCCAAAAAAATGCAATAGGGCTTATTTTCAGGTGATGTTTTATTTTATTTTGTTCATGTAAAACAATCCACATTTATTAAAAAACAATCATGTCAAATTCTTCTTCTACATCATCATAACTCTCAAAACTCCAAATTCCAGCCTGAATTTCTTGTGACTCCATTTCCTATAGAACCACTGGCCCCAATCTCTGATGTCCAGCAATAAACCTCTCCTTAAATGAGCACTTCTTGTCCTGCTCGTAGTGCATTGGCAACACAGCTGTCAGTGATTTTATTCTATTAATTCTTCACCCAAGTCACCACCTCTTGCAGTCTGGGATTCACAAAGTTTCCACGCGGATTTCTCCCCATTCTATTTTCAATGTAGTCATTGATTTCCATGCGCAAATGGTCCTGGAATGGCTTGTTTATTGCAATATCAAGAGTCTGGAGATCGGCAGTCATGCCTGCCGGAATCATTATTTGATCTATTCTTCTCTGTGCAAGGAAGTGCTTCATGTCTTTAGCATGGTGACTGCTGACTGAATCCCAGACTTCCAGACCTCTTTGGCCGCCTCGCAAAACAAGTGGCCGCATTAAACTGACCCAATTCCTTATAACTGCTTGTGTGCACCAGGCTTTTTCAGTTTCAAGAACATAAATGCCTGAAACACATTCAATCTTATCCTTCTTGCCTTTAGTGACTATTAGAGGTGGGGCTTTCTTTCCATCCAGACGAATTGCCAAAACAAAGGTAACACATGGACTTTCGTAACCAGTGGAGGGAGCGTAGATTGATGAGATACCCGATGATCAATTGTCATTTGAGATCCTTGGCCCATAAACACTGCAGTTTCATCCCTGGCAATCATGTTGGAGAGTTGGTATTTAGAAAAGTCAATGCCATCAACAAAGGACTTGAATGCACATGGACGTTTAGTAAGTTCAGTATCTTCCAGCTTGAACAGTGTTGTTGATCCTCTTAGAGACACTTCATATCGTTGAAGGAAGCTATCCAGCTAGTGTGATGCTTTGAATTCTTCTGGGGATATTTCTAACTGTGGTACTATAGCAAGGGCAAACCAAAGCCTTTGTTCTCCTGTCAGCAATCCATTCACAGATGATGTCTTCCAGCTCAGGAAATAATGGCTGCCTACCTGGTCCACACTTGTGCTTCTTAGCATTCCCCTTGTCCACATGTTGACTGAGGTTATTACACTCTGCTCGCCATTTTCGGACCTTTCGGAGATACAACTTATTCTCTTTCCAGAAAGCCGTAAGATTCTTGCTCCAGGAATCTTCCACAATTCTTTTCTTGTACTCAACAGAATAGCGCTTTCTTTTGGCACTCATCTTGTCTGGGGCTCAAAACATTCTTCCTTTTAAATCTATAATTCCATCAAGTGTTAACTGAAGAGTTCTGAGACAGGAGTGGCAACAAAAATGCCGATACTGTAGTTAAGAATGATAAAGGTAAAGGTAAAGGTTCCCCTTGACAATTTTTGTCCAGCCGTGTTCGACTCCAGGGGCGGTGCTCATCCTCGTTTCCAAGCCATAGAGCCAGCGTTTTGTCCAAAGACAATCTTCCGTGGTCACATGGCCAGTGCGACTTAGACACGGAATGCTGTTACCTTCCCACCAAGGTGGTCCCTATTTATCTACTCGCATTTGCATGCTTTCAAACCGCTAGGATGGCGGGAGCTGGGACAGGCGACGGGCGCTCACTCCGTCGCGTGGATTCAATCTTACGACTGCTTCGTCTTCTGACCTTGCAGCACAGGCTTCTGTGGTTTAGCCTGCAGCGCCACCACGTCCCTAGTTAAGAATGATGCTTGACACAAAAATGATGAAAAACTGCAGGTACCAAAATTCAGAAAAATTTTTTTTTAATTTCACATGAGTGCCTTAAGGGAGGCAAGGAAGAGAGGCAGAAAGGGCACCCACTGAGGGTCAGACACCCAGCAGGCACCACGCAAGGTGCCAACGCAGCTATGGCTGACGGATGCTGACCCGGAAGGGGAAACTGGCAGATCTCTTCTTCCTCTTTGGGAGGGGCGCCTTCCAAGGGGCGCCCTCCGGGTGCTGCAGCACCCAATCGGCAGCAGACCTCACAAGCTCCACTTAGCAAAGTCACACACTCCCTTTCTCTTTCTCCCCTCCTGGCCAAGTCCTCTTTTCAGCCTGTGGGAAAAACTCGCACACGAGATCGAGCACAGGAGCAACCAGCCTTGACTTTCCTGTCCAACCCTCCCCCCTCGACGCCTCCCATCCTTCCAACTCCCTGGGTGTTCGGATTCTTTTTAATCCTTTCTCAAGCTCTCGCTTCCTGTTCTCCTTCCCCTTCTTTAAACATACCCGGTGTCACTTCCTCCAGGGGTGCTGCTGCCACCGCCGCAGCCAAGGAGGTGCCACGGTAGTGCCCGGGGGGGAGCACGCACACTGCAGAGGCACGAACCCCAAGAGTTGTTGGTGCAACTTCCTGGCAGGGTGCAGCTCCTTCCTCTCTGGCGGCCCAGCCCATCCGTGAGCGAGGGAAGGGGGAGATGAAGGGAAAAGGTTTTAAGTCTATCTTGATGGCTCAGAGGATCCTGTTGAGTCCCTGGTGGAGGGCATGGTTTCATTTAACTAGGGCTTATTTTCAGGGTAGGGCTTATATTAAAATCATATAGGAAAACCATACTAGGGCTTATTTTCAGGGAAACACGGTAAGGAAACCCAGCAAAAACAAAGATGGCTAAATTTGAACTATGTTTTGTGAGTGGATTCACTTGAACTCAGTAAACCACATTTTTGGTCATCTCTATTTTCCTATGGGTAACAACAGTGGTCTAAACCACACCTGTGCAAGTTCCTGACAACCGGTGTGATGGGATTTTCTTCACCTCCCCTCCTCCCTGCAAGCCCTCTACGCCACCTGAAAGCTGTATCAGACGTTTCTCAGCTCTCTGCAGTAGGATCCTGGGACCTTCAGGATCATCCTTCCTGTTTCCACCCACAGTCGGTCCTACTGGCAGAACCCTCCCCCTTTTCTGGATCCTGGCCATTGCAAAAGGCAGAAACAAGCAAGCTAAACAGTCAGGTCTACCACCTTCCTGATCAACTCAGCTGCCTTCATTTTTGCTTCTTCGTCACCAGTTGAATGTTCCAGGGTACTTCACTTACTACTTTTTATCTCTTCCACAATGAAAGGGTCAAATTTAATTTTGTCAATGCTCTGGTGCAAACAATAAGTTTTGTAGATCTTCACTACTTCTTCATGAAGGGACATCATCTCTTCATCCAGTAACTCTGGCTGCAAAATTCTGTCATTAAATTGCTCTGTTGGCAAAAGGAGAAAAAAAAGCATTGTTCTTTATATACTGCAAGTATTTCCTTCAGAGCTAAAGTTTATTTATAAAAATGACAGAACAGAAATTCCCTGATTTTTATCTGGGGAACCCAGATACATCCCAGCCTAATCATCCCTCAACAGTGATTGAGCAACCGAGTGGCTGCAACTGTTCTGCTCTCTTCCATTCCCACGCAAGTGAGGCCAGGATGGCCTTTCCTGTCTCCATCCCGCCCTTCTTTTCCAACTGACAGGGTGAGCCCTGGAGTACACTCAGAACCTCTCCATCCCCAGACATCTCCTGCTGAACTGCCAGCTCACTGGACACTACCCCACATGAACAAATCCCATACAGAGCTATGAGAACTTCTTCAGAAGAAAGCATACAACCCCCCTGCATAAAATATCTTCATTTTAGTTTTCTTCAGCTTAGTTTTTTAAGGTAAATGAAGGAAAACATGTTACAGGTGTTTGAAATTGAGTTTCTCCACTTCCATCCCAGATACAATGGTGCCTCACTTAATGATTACCTCGTTAAGTGACAAAACCGCTTGATGATGAGGTTTTTGTGATCGCTTTTTCGATCGCAAAACGATGTTCTACTAGGAAAAATTCGTTTCACGATGATCAGTTCCCTGCTTCGGGAACCGATTCAGTTCCCTGCTTCGGGAACCGATTTTTCGCTAGACGACGATTTTCAAACAGCTGATCGGCGGCGCTAAAATGGCTGCCCGCTGTGCAAAATGGCTCCCTGCTGTGCTTCAGGACGAATTCCTCATTATACAGGCACCAGAAAATGGCCGCCCTATGGGGGATCTTCGCTTTACGATGAGGTATTTAGCCCACTGGAACGCACTGAAGGGTTTTCAATGCATTTTAATGGGCTTTTAAAATTCGCATGACAACAATTTCCCTTAACAGCGATTTCGCTGGAACGGATTAACTTCGTCAAGTGAGGCACCATTGTATCATAATACTGGATAATGGCTGGAATAATTCATTGAAGCTATATGGTGGGTGATTTAGGATAAGAAAGTAGTAGTACTTGCTCAAACAATGCTTAGTTATTTTATTTTTATTATTTCAAATTCTATATTGCTCCATCAGTGTTAATATTCTCTGGGCAGCTCACAACACATCAAAATCATCATTAAAATGAATAATTACAATATATAATAAATCCCCGTCACTCGCTAAAAATCCTACATTCAAATAGAATTAAACAAATTTAAACAAATTTGGATGTCCCAGATCAGTGGTTAGGAGCACTAATAAAGGCAACTTTATATAATTCTATTTTCATTAATCTTTGAAAAACTGAGAGGGATGGTATCTGATGAAAATCTGTAGGAATTTTGTTCCCGAGGGAAAGGGTAACAACCGAGAAAGTGCAATTCCTGATGCCAGCTCCTTTGGTCTCCTTCAGTGTCACAATTTTTAATACAAGGATTGCGAGGAGGAGCGGGTGTGGGAGACACATTCTGGGATTGATAGGTCATGACCAGCACCTTGTACCAGGCACTGAAACTAACAGAGAGCCAATGAAGGCATGCCAAGACTGGGGACATGTACTTATATCTGGTGGTACCTGTGATCCATGTGGCCACTGCATTTTGGACCTGCTGAAATTCCCATACTGACTTCAAGGAGAGCCCTAAGTAGAAAATGTTACACTAGTCTATTTTGGAGATAACCAACACGTGAACCATTGTTGTTGGGCCTTTCTTCTCCAAGTAGAGGCACAACTGGGCAATCAACCAAAGTTAATAAAAGGTATTCCTCGACAAAGCAGATAGTTGTGCCCCCAAGGAGAGCAGGATTCAAGAGCAGCCCCCTCGAGCTGCAAAACCCTTAAACAAAGCCTGTCGAGGTCAGATAAATATCCCTCTAACCAGTCTGATGATTTTCCCCAACAGTAGGATTTATTTATTTGTCTTATTTAGAGGGTTTTTTTCTCCTAATAAGGGGACTCATCTTAACTGGATTCGAATCCAGATACTGTTAGTTAAAATGATAGCAGCTGTTACTACAAGGTAATTTTTTAAAAGGATTAGAGAAAGTTGTGAAAGTCAAAGGAACGTATGCACTATTAGTTTTGATGGCAGCTTCCAGTATCGAAGGCAGCATGCAATACCACTGACATGACAGTTGGCTTCTGAAACATTTGATTATTATTATAGCAGGAGAGGGGTGAAGTTTCAACAAGAGGTTGCAAAGCTAGGGAGGGAATCAGCCACCCCTATTTCCTGAAATGGCTCCTGCTCCATGCTGTAGCTGGCTTTGGCGAAGTACTAACTGGCATGGATACAGAGGATTATAAAAGCTCAGATAACATCGAAAAAGTAGGAGAAGAGAAGCCGTCCTGTGGGACTGGAGGTAATCTTGCTGTCTGGTTGAGAAGAGGGATCTCAGGTGGATTCTGTCAGGCCTGGAAGAGAGCTTGTCCACCATTTTCGTAAATTACAGCACCAGAAACCTCTCTATTCTTTCCACCACATTTAGCCCATTTTTAAGCATATAGCAAATGTAACACACATCACGAAATGGCTACTGAATACAAATATGGCACTGACTTAACAAGGTATCTTACCTACATCAAGGTAAAACTGCAATACATGCACAGCTCCTTCTTTTTTCAAAAAATTCATAAAAAGGAAAAAAAGATCTTGGTGTCCTCTAATTTCTTTCAATTCCAACTGAAAGGCCTGCATAAAAAGCCGAAAGAATGGAGTACGTATCTAAACGACTGATACAAAAGTTCTTTCTTAAAAACAGACATGTAAGAATTTAACTTGAAAGATTCTTTCTCACTTACAGAGGACTTCTTATTTCTGGGTTCTACAAATTTCTGCAGAAAGGGAACTAAAGCTGAAGCAGGTTCGGTGGCTTTTTCAGGCTGCAAACAAAAAAACAAACAAACAAAAAACAGCACATCAGCCCGGTCAGGCCATGTGATTTCACCATCAGCACAATGTTATTCTTGTCATGTTAGTACTCACTGGCTTGTCATCCATGAAGATAAGGAGCAAGTGATTCACCGTATCCTAACAGAAGAGGGGGAGGGGAAACAGTTAACAAAGGGCTGGGACCTGAAGTGCCACATCTACATAATCTGACAATCCTGAAAGATAGCTCTGCTTATTCACATTTCATCAGGCACTAAAGCACCACCAATCATTTATTTAATTTATTTTAAATATTTTTACCCCACCTTTCTCCTTAAGAGGACCCTAGGCGGCTTGGGTCTCCAAAGCAAGACATCAGCACCACTTTCTTTCCCTTCCTCTCTAAGGAGGGACTTTCCGAGCATCTAAACCTCTCTAGCCACCAGCTCAACACTGGTGTGATGGAGGTACAGACACATGTTTGCAAATTATTTGCCATAAGACACATTTCTCTACATTTATAAACTTGAGTTTGGATCAAAATATTAAGCCTTAAAAGCAGATCTGAGAAGGAAACTAGGCACGACATAGCATGAGCTCATTGGGATATTTCTGAAGCCTGTGGGAAGAGCTTTCAAAGCATAGAACAAGCAAGGAGAAATGGAAGCTTGCTAGTTTCCTCTCACTCTTGGTCTTTAAAATTTACAGCACTGGGAGGGAGGAAGAGTGAACAGAGAGACTGAACAAATAGGAAGGGTGCTTATCAAACTAGTTCCAAAACCAGGACCAGTTTTTTATATTTACTCATTCAATTTTCTCTAAATTGAATGAGTAAATATATCTCAATTTCTGGCTAGGAGTAAGGAAGAGGGGCAGGAACAAGTCCAAATGATCCAACATTATGTAAAAGCCAACCCACCATTCAGAAAGGGTTTTTACTGAGAACGGATACTGATCATGAGTGCACAGGAATGTGCTTACAAATATATACCAGATGAAGAAGGAAACAAGGTGCCACCAATATTCATTATATATAAAGAATATAAAAAGAATAAAGAAATGGTCATCGAAACGGGGACCAATTAAACACAGTAAGAAAGCATGAGAGAAAACAGATGCAAAAGCTAAGCATTTCGTTCAGTAAAAATATTTCAGATACTTTTACTGTAGCACCTTTCTTTTAATACTTCCTATCCTATTTTTCACAAGCACTATATTTTCCTGTGGCAGCACCAACAGCATCTTATGAAGCTAGACATGACAGCAGAGAGAGAGAGAACGAACATTCCTCAAAACTCACCGGATCAGCTAAAAAGTCCATGCAAGGTAGGAGAACAGACCCAGATAAAATTTCTCTTAAAAGTAAGGTGAACGATCTGAAAGGAATACAACAGCTAATTTCCACACAACTGTTTTCTCTTTCATCATAAATTAAGCAGCTTTCAAAAGACAAGTATATAAGCAGAACTGGTGCAAAAAATCACTTACTATACTTAAATAAATATGATGTAGTTATTTCCTCACACACCACTGTTTACGAGGGACCACTCTGGGGTCCCCTCCCCCCGTGTAACAGTTAATTGTAGCTCAGGGACAATTGTAGCTCAGGGACAATTCGGAATGCATCCTTGATTCCTGTAACCATGGCTGAAAACGTATGAAAAATACTGTGCTATGCTGGGGCCCACCATTAAGCTTTGTAGAGGATTCAGAAAATAGCAGTCGTCTTTCCTCAGCTTCCCATGCAACAAAGTATTATTTGGAAGGAAATCCCACAAAAGAGAGAAGAACTTGTCAACCTCTGGCTGGAATCAGCCATGGTCCAATTGATTAAATAGAAATGTTCTTCTTTCAATTATTTATTTTTTAAAAACTTGTCACAGTTTCAAGAGCAGAATAATTGAAAGAAGAACATTTCTATTTAAACTTGTCACAGTTTCAAGAGCAATGTGCAAAACTCCTGATGTCCAGGCCAGTTGGACTTCCATATAATTTAATCTGGGATTCTTCAAGTCTGCCTCTAATTATCAGTTGCTGGGGGGAGGAAAGCAAGAGGGGTGCTTGGGGGCCCATATCCTGCTTACAGGTTTCCCTTGGGCAGCTGCTGGTCCTGTAGGAGAAGAGCAAGGTCTCTGGTCTGATCTAGCTGGGTTCTTCTTCTATTCTTATTTCATTATGAAATAAAATTAACAAAACTGCATATGAAGGAACTAGAAGGAATCCCCTAACATGCAAGGGCTTCTCCATTCATTTTCACACATAGCTCTGCACATGTAACAAACGTTCAATCTGATTTTGAGCTTGACTATAAGGTTTCACTTTTCTAGGACGTCATATGCATATTTGACTATTTGCAGAGACATGAGTAGTGCCAAATGGGCAAAGGATGGACTACTGAACCTTCAGGAAAATATCTGCCCACACACATAGCATGCATTTACACAACACCCTTCTCCAGGCTTTGAAGATTATCACAAATTCACAACCAAATACCATGTATGCTGAATCCACTCCCTGACCATTTTTTTCCATGAACAATATTAGTTCATAGTCTGCTGTAAAAGAATACTAAAATAGTGATGAAACAATGATGCATTTTTGAGCGTACAGCTTTCGATACTGAACTTGACTGTAAATTATCATGTTATGAAAAAGGATGGAATGCAAATACTTTAAATATTACAACTTGATAATATACCTGCAGATTGTTGAATTGGGAGGTAGAATATAGGGGAAAAGAAGTTCAGTAAGTTTCCTTAAATAATGGAGTTCATCTCTTCTATTCCTCAAAGCCACATGGAGTTCTGGTCCATATTCTTCTAAAGCAGCTTGCTGTAAATATTCAGTATTTTTCACTGCAGGGAAAATGAATTTCAGCAAGACTCATATAATATTTATTGGAAATAACCAGCAGCAAAGCAAAACAGCCAAAGCAAACAGTGAAATAACAGAAATATTGAAACAGGGTGCAGATCACAACAAAGCTGATGGCAGGTAACCCTAAAGGTTTGCTAAAGATTAACGGTCTTCTACTTCTCCAGAAAAGACAGAAAGGGAAGGCTATGCAGAGCTGTTCTAAAACAGAGTCCCAAAGCAGTGAGACCGCTACTTAGAAGGCCCTGCACCTCATGCTGGCTAATCCAGCATCCCCATATAGAGGATCAAGACCACATCCTGAGAAGAGATATTCCCAGAGGTAACCCAGATAGATGGTGTTCCAGGATTTAAGAACTAAAATGAGGACTTAAATTTGTATTCAGAAATAAACTGATTATTATATTCTGTAAACAGCATCAAATACTAATCATGCAGTATGAAGCCAAAACAATTAACCTTAGCAGTGAAAAAAGTGATGGCTTTACCTTAACAGATCATGTGTGTGTGTGTGTGTGTGTTTAAGGGAAGCAGTTTTGTCAGGTGAACCTAGAAGGCACAACTTATGTGTCAATTTTGCAACCCCTATTTCCTCTCCCTCTTAAAATACATACTCTAGAAGCTGGGGAACCTCCAGAACTGATTTTCAGACCTGCTGAAGGCTAAATGGGGAAGGGAGGAGAAAGTTTCCCTGAAGCCACTAGCATGTTAATCTTCGTATTTGCTACATTTTTTAAAAAATTAAATTAACAGGACTGTTTGAACTGACTGCAGTTCACTTGCTAAAAGGAATGTTTTTCTTCACAAATGAAGTTTATTTCCTCACTGCTTATCTGAAGGCTGTCTGAAAGGGCTCAGGACAGCACAGAAATAGACAATACTTTTTGGAACCTAGAATCACTTAGCAGGAGGTCTATAGGAGGTTACGTAGCTACGTACATACATTTTTTGTACCCTGAAACATACAACTTTGCTTTAGTTTTGCATATTTTTGTCAAAATCATCACAGAGCATATAAAAATGTCATAGATTTTAATTTTAAAATATTGCATTTTTAAAAGCATGCTACATAAAACTGGTAATGTCACCTTTCTGTCCAGCTTTGGCTATTACTATTATATGCTTCATGGCTGCCTTTAGCATTTTCTTTGTTATGACTGTTGGTATATCCACCTGAAGTAAAATAAGACCGATAAATGATTTCTCCATTCACTAAAAGGACAAAAACAAAGAGTGCGGTGCATTGGTGACTTTGTCCAGGTACCAGTCTCTGTTGAGCCTTGAAACTCACTAGGAGGATTATGCCTGCCACATGCTCTCAGCCTGACCTTCTTCAGATGGTTGCTGCAAAGATAAAGGAGGAAGGCGGAGAGCATGTACAAAAGGCAGGGGAAGAAATGGTGGGATACAAATGCATCCAATACATCTATACAGCAACTCCTACAATTTTCTTAAATTGCAGGAAAATAGCAAAAGATTACAGTAAATCTCCAATTCATGGAAAACAGAGCGATTTTATGAAACTGACATGATATTTAAAGGACATTCATAATCACAGTGCCTTAGTATACAGAACTCCCTTTAATGTTGTTGCATCACCAATGCAGATTGATTTAAAATTCACCATCTCAAGGTGGAAAACATCAGGTCTCATTCTTTTCCAACTCATAACATTTCCAGCCTTCTCAAAACACTTATTGCACCTAGGTTTCTTTGAACAATGCACAATAATTACATTTATATTAAACTTGAACAAGTTTGAAATGAAGCTGAGTCCACACTCTTTTAAACAATTTTACTATCACTCTCCCAAAGGTCCAACGTAAAGATCTGTGTTTAATTGAAACATAGGTTACCTTGTAAATTCTGCGTATTAATACAGATGCAAAAAAACGCAATGCTGTTCTCAATTCATCCACAGATGATTCATCATCAGTTATATCTCTGCAAATTTGGAAAACAAAGCATTGTTTAATTATTGAAGGACTGTTAGCCACTATAATCTTTTATGTTGTTAATTGTTTCAAAACCATTTCTTTTCGTTTGAAGAAATATTATTAGAGATGGGCATGAACCTTGGTTCACCTTGGCCAATGACACAATTCATACAGATCATGACACTGCTCTCCTCCTCCTGCTCCTCCTCCTCCTCTTCTTCAGCTGTTCCACCAGACCCAAGCAGGACCACAGGTTTGCCTGTCCTGCCTCCTTGTCTGAATGGGTGATCAGCCAAGGAGGCAGGGCAGGAAAGCCCGTGATCCTGCCAGAGGGTGGTCGAACAGCTGAAGAGGAGAAGCAAAGGAGTGCAGGCCAGCTGGGGGATCCAGGCAGGGGAGCGGGGGAAGGGATTCATACGTGTGGTACCACCATAGCTGGGGTGCCACACGTATGAACCGGCAATGAACCTCTGAACCAAGGTTCTAAATATGACATAAAAATCTTGAAAGAACAGATTACATACAATAAGAAGAAGAAAAGGAAAGGGAAAAAAAACCAAGCAAATAATCTGCACAGATATAACCTATCGGGGAGAGGGGGATTACTTTATTTATTTATTTATTTGACTTTTATACCACCCATTTGCCTTCCAAGACCACTCTGGGCAGTTTACACTTTAAACAAACAGATAATCAAACAACAATTTAAAATAATGGACATAATTAGAGATAGGGGTATCTATCAAATACCCCCATCTCTACACATAATAGCTATAAAATCAAAATTAAATACAAAGATACCAACAAAATTTATCTGCAAATAATTAAAGTGATATTTATATGTTTTACACAGTGACACAGAAAAAAGGAAATATATATCTGCCTTTACAGAAATAAATCAAAACCTTTATAAGAAGAAAAAAAGAAATGGGTCTACTCTGTCTACACATTTACTTTTCCATGAACACAAACAATCATCTTCCAATATAACCGCTTATTTGATTATTCCGTTTCTTGAGGGGAAAAAAGAGAGTTTTATTTTGCAAAATCCTTAATATTTTTAGCACCATGGGTTGTATTTAACTGGTCTCACTCTTCTGATGGAGCATTTTATGAAACAGTGGAACATCAGAGACTGAGATGGAGGAGGTATCTGTCCACAGACCTGGGAGGGAGGCAATTCTCTTCCCCACACATCTTCAAAGGTATTCTACGGGTCCACACAATGCTCCAGTTAAGGAGAAGGTCTGCCAGAAATAATTATAGGCTACTGGGGCATTAAAACACTTTATTTAAGGAATACGTATCAATGGTGGCAACCAAATCACATTACTGGAAAATTTTGTAGAAAAACCACAGCAGTGTTAAAACTAACTTTCCAAAGTGACTTCAACTAGATTAAAATACAACTAAATGCACAATCCAGTTGTAAATTGTGGGCATTCCTATTATTTGAATTTACCTGAGGTACCACGATACAAGAAATACAAACTATAGCACATGGGCCCAGTCTAATCCTTGGCAAGTAAGAAGTTCAGAAAAAGCACATGGCTTAGCTTAATAAGTAGAGATGGGAGCTTCGTGTTCGTCTCCTGGGGGAGACAATACAAAGCTGGCCAGCACAGATGACCAGTCTGAGTGGACCTTCCCCAAGTGAACCGGGTGTCCACTTACCACTCGCTGTGTGGCATGTGGCCGGCATCATCAAAACAGCACCAATCGCAGCAGTAGCCTGGCTGGTGCTGCACTGCCTGCCTGTTCAGCTGGCCACTCCAGCAAGGGGGGTGAGATGATGAGCCTCCCTACGCAGCTGCTGAATGGCCAGGCATGAAAGAAGGCAGGGTAGCATGAACCGGGCTACTTCCGCGATTGGTGCTCTTTCAATGATGCTGGCCGTGCGCACCATGCAGCGAGTGGTAAGTGGATGCCCGGTTCAGGGGGGAGGGTGCAATCAAACTGGTCACCTGTGCCAGTGAGGTGGAGATGAACATTAAGCTCCCATGTCTGTTACTAAGTGCTCTTATTATTTCAGAATCTATTTAAAAATTATATTTTAAAAAATCCCATGGATGAAATGTCCTTCCATGTGGAAAGACAGTACATCAGGGAGAAGGCCCAGATGACACCTGCTCCCCTTCAAACACAACCCTGGACATAAAAGTTTAGAGAGATATTTTGGGCTAAATTACATATATAATCTAGTACCCAATTAACTATTAAAGCAAGATCATAATACTGTTTTGGAAAACCATATGGAAATAATAACAAAAAAATCTTACCTGTACCAAGGATATACGAAGTTATCCAGCAGTAGTTCAAATACCTGAAAACAACAGATTAAATGTTAAATAATATATAATATATTAAAGTACATCCAGTTAGAGCCAACAAGATACCTAGCAAGCATATTTCAGAACCAGAGTTTTAAAAAAAACAAAGCCAGAAGACCCCAAACACTTCCTTCCATCAAACAAAAACTTCAAGAAAGGGCTCCTGTGAATTTTTAGGTCACCCAGAGCTTCAAAAAGTGCAAACTCCTGGGTTTCTGAGAGTTGTGCATGCTTCCATGTACCATGAGGTCAACAAAGAGGTAACATAACTAATGACCAGAATTGGTTTCTTCACATAGTTGTCTAGTTCATTCAATTTCAAAATATGGGCGGCAGCAATCTGAAACAATTACCTAATGTACTAATGCAGTGTCTGCCAAAATAATAAATACTGTAAACAATGTTTACAATTGCACTTAAAGCAAAAATAATTACAGTGTCCATTCTTTTTTTTAAAGATGAATAATGCAGTATTAGATTTCTATAGCGAGTGATGCTAAACAGTTACCTCTGATACAGAAGCATCAACTTTAGAAGGAACATTCAGGTCCCGCCATGGCTGATAATTTTCTAGAAGCAATGCACGTCTATTAAACAATGAAGAGACAGTTAGGGAGAGTTCCATTCACTTTTAACCAAGGTATACAAATACAGTAACAATGCTGAACATTCAACTCACCTGTGCCTGTTACACTTGATGTTACCACATACATCACAGCTGTAATCCTGGGAATGTGGTTCTTGCAGTTCTAAGTGCTAGTCAAAATAAAACAAAGGAAAGTGTCATTCTTCACAAGTCTAACAGACAGGTCCGCATTTGCCATTTTTAATTGGATGCGAGACAAATGATCAAATCTGATGGCATCAAAATGATGGTATAAAGCTGCTTTAGAACAGATTTATTTGTGCCACTGTCACAAATAAGTTTTGGATAGAACGCTGATAAAGGTCTGAGTCATATCCTGATGCTCGAATACTTGTAGCTATTTGAGCCCCGCCAAGCCAAGCTTTTGATACTTCAAGTGAGCCCAGTTGATTGGAAGGCTATGGGCAACAAGCAAATTTAGCAATTCCTACTTAGGCACAACTTTTTAACTTGAAATACTGTATACCATATTTTTCCGTGTATAAGACACCTCCATGTATAAGATGCCCTCCACTTTTCTAATCCAAAATTAAGAAATCTAAGTGGGGCTTAGCAAGTGTAGGGAGAAAGGGATCAAAGCGCTGCAGGATCGCTTTGATCCCTGTTTTCCCCTCCACTTGTTTTTGTTCTCTCCTCAGCTTACTTCCATTTATAAGACGACCCTTAATTTTTAGTCTAAAGATTTTAGACAAAAGCATAGTCTTATACACTGAAAAATATGGTACATATAGGCACAGGCCCTGGTGTACATTTAATCTAAGGCAGACTACCTTGTAAAGTTATGGATGTTATTCAATCGCAATAATTTGAGGCAAAGTCTCTGAATTATCAATAGGTTACTAAACAGATGGCATAAAACAATAAAAAGGAGAAATGTTCTTTGTTTTTTATTATGATGTAATAATCATATAACACAAGAACATTGTGTAGCATATAGATTTCATCCATATAAATGTGTATATTTTACAATTATTGCTGTGTTATCCGGTAACACAACAAATAGCTATCAATAGTTAATTAATCATCAATTTTTTAACCAGTAGTAACTGAATGGTATAAAACTAACAACTTTAAAAACCCTGTTAATTATCAGAAAGCCATACTGAATGGAAGAAGTCTAGGGAAGAGTCTGCTTGCACATTTTCTTTCACCTAACTTTTTTTCCCAAAACCATTTTAATATGCAGTAATTAAAAAGGAATTCTCACTGATTAAACTTTTTAAAGTTCTATCAATTAAAACCAAGAAACATTACAACCTGATAGTAATAAACACAAACAAGGTTTAGCCATTATGCATGTGCTGTATGAAGATATACTGTACTAATGAAATAAAATACACAAATTAAATTAAACATTACCTTAGTTTTATGTTTGATTGTAAATAGAATATTTGGTAAGAGGGAATCTGGTCCTAAGGAAAAATAGAATGTGGCAACTCCCGCAACAAATGACCAGAAGATCATTAGCATATGAAGATACCTTAAAGATAAAGGGAAAAAAATTATACTTGACAGAAACATGCAGACAGTATCACATTTCTGCTCCTAACTTTGGAAGATTATACCTAACCCAATGCATGCCACTTCATATAAAACTGACACAATTATAAGCACATAAGCCAGAATGCACTAGTCAATCAGGTTAGCATTAAGTGCAGTAATGTGAAACACAGTGGTGAATTGCTACTAGTTAGCAAGTTACATGTTTTTTGTTGTTAGTCATTAAGTCATGTCCGACTCTTCGTGACCCCATGGACCAGAGCACGCCAGGCCCTCCCGTCTTCCACTGCCTCCCGGAGTTTGGTCACATTTCATGTTGGTAGCTTCGATGACACTGTCCAGCCATCTCATCCTCGGTCGTCCCCTTCTCCTCCTGCCTTCACACTTTCCCAACATCAGGGTCTTTTCCAGGGAGTCTTCTCTTCTTATGAGATGCCCAAAGTATTGGAGCCTCAGCTTCAGGATCTGTCCTTCCAGTGAGCACTCAGGGTTGATTTCCTTCAGAATGGATAGGTTTGTTCTCCTTATTACTACATACATCCCTTATTATAACTCATGCATGACAAGGGATACAAGTGATGAATTGTTAATAAGCAACAACATGATACTGCAGTTTATGCCACTGCACTTACAAGGTAACTCACCAACAAGATTCTGCCCATCAACTTCAAAAATAGTATATAAAATTTAAGAGCCCTGATTCCTATAGGGATCTTACTCCAGAGTGAGTGAAATTGCAGAGGTTGTTTCAGTGAACTGCAGCTAATTAGTAAAGTGCCAGTCTCAACTCTAATTTGTGACTGACACACATCCAGGCATACAACCACCACTTTGTTAACTGATTGCAATTTGTCACCCTGATTTACATGACATCACTTACTCCAGAGCAAAACCTAATAGGATCCCGCCCAGACATTTAAGCAGGCTGTACCTGTGAAATGTTGAAAAGGCTTATTATACACTTGGGTTGTAGACAGGTTCCCCCAGATCAGTTCAGGCCTTAATTTCAGGATGGATCCCAAAATAAAACAAAAGCAATTCAGCCCCATTCAACTCAATTTGATCCAGATCACACTGTAAATTATGACTACCAGTCTCCCACTGAATTGCACTGGAAAACCAAAGGGGCTATACCTTTTACATGTATGAACTGATGTTTACATAATCTGTTGACACTATAAAACCTGAAGAGGAGAGGAAGCCTGCCAAATTTCACACAGTTAACTTAAGGGGTTTGTGTGCCAGGTGACCTTAAAGTTAGTTTTGTTTTGTTTTTAATATCGTTCTAAAAAGCCAAGACACTTGGATGAGCCTTACACATTCATGCTGTTCTTACCCTCTCAAAAGGTTTACTATTTAGAGCCCTTTTAAAAAACCTGCAAGTTTACAATTGGAGAAATCCATGAAAGGGCCATTTTTAAAAACTGTTTTGGAGATGGGTAAACATACTGCACTGGAAGACAACACAGAAAATACAGGTACTTGGTGGACAGGCAGGCAGCAGTGCTTAACAGAGTGGGAAAACAGACACAGGGCACATCTACACACTACTGTGAAAATATGGTGAATGAATCCACTGTGAAGTCCTACCCAGGAAATCACAGTTCCTTTGAATTCACTTCAGCCAACCACACAAAAGTCAGCGGAGAAAGTGGAGGAAATTGGCACTCAGCCTCATCTACACCTTGTTGATCATTTGAATCCTCTTCAGGGTGGATATGATTTCCCAATCCACTCTCTAAACGCTGGGAGGAGTGAGGAAGCAGACAGGCACCCTTTTCACTGGCCAACAGTTAACTGAAAGTTCAAATTTTGCACTTTCCCTGCCTCCCACGTGGGTTTTTTTCAGTTCTTAACTCAAATCTAAGTACTTAAGTCAATATTTTCCTATGAGAGCGGTTCTTAAGTCAAAATGTTCTTAACTCGAGCCGTTCTTAAGTCAAGACCCCACTGTACTGCACTGGAAGACAGCACAGAAAATACAGGTACTTGGTGGACAGGCAGGCAGCAGTGCTTAACAGAGTGGGAAAACAGACACAGGGCACATCTACACACTACTGTGAAAATATGGTGAATGAATCCACTGTGAAGTCCTACCCAGGAAATCACAGTTCCTTTGAATTCACTTCAGCCAACCACACAAAAGTCAGCGGAGAAAGTGGAGGAAATTGGCACTCAGCCTCATCTACACCTTGTTGATCATTTGAATCCTCTTCAGGGTGGATATGATTTAAATTGAAATTGTTATTTAATCAATTTGATTTTTATCCTGTTCTTCCTACACCTACTGCTGGGTATGCTTGCTTTTCTCTGCTTTTCCATTTCTTTCTTCCTTCTTTCCTTTTAAACGTTTGTTGTCCCAGGGTTAGGATAGCTTGCTGACCAAAGAAAACTAAAAAGTGGGGATACAGCAGAGACAGGAGGAAGTTTTCTGTCAGTCTTGTTTCTAGCTTGTTAACCATCCAGATTTGTAGGAGGCATAGTTAGAGCAGAGCTACCTTAGAACTTTCTTCTCTCTCACTCTCTGCTAATTCCTCACCGCTGCCCACCCTGCTTGGGTCATCTAGCTGCTCTAGCGATAGATCAGCGAGCCACTAGGTTCTGTAGCAGAGTTTGAAGAATTTAAAGTAGTTGTAGACAAGTTATGTGTTAATAAAAACAACTGAGTTAAGGCAAGATCTGTCTCCTGATGTCAATTTTGAAAAACTGTGAAATCTCCACTAGGGAAGTAAAACCCTGAAGCACTGGAAAAACACAGCTAGTCAATGTTAACAACACTAAAAGGACCAATATTTTAATTCTGTATAAGGCAACTTCCTATGTTCCTGTAATGTTTTGACTTCGGTCGTTCAAATCAGGATTTTAATACATGCAGCCCACAGGAAATCTGGTAATCATTAGTCTGAAACACACAAGTCCCAGTGGGGATTTCATGTCAATAGGGAGGCCTGGCAAACCACCACCAGGAACCAGGCCTTTTTGATACCGTCCACAACATTCTGGAACATGTTGCCTGTGGATGTAACACTAGGCACCCTCCCTCCTGTCCTTCAGGAGATGGGTTAAAACTCTGCTTTTCAACTAGGCCTTCAAGAACATCCTCCCCCATCACAGATCCATTCAGTTTGAATTTTATTTTGATTGCTGTTGTCTTTAGGGGTTCATTCTTGTCATTTTACCTGTTTGCTTTGTTTATGATGGGAGTGTAGGGTTTTATTTGGGGGGAGGGAACAGCCCAGAGCAGTAGCTTGCCACTAGATGGCTAACATATATAGTAAGTGCAATAAATAAGTAAATAATAAATAAAAACGAGTCATAATAATTTATCCCAAAAGCCCTATTAGGGTCATAATCAGTCAGTTCCAACTTGATGAAACATAACAACAAACAATACTGGAATAATAACCAGTAATGGTATCATGAGCAAACCTAGGAACCTGCAAGATGAGAAGCCTGAGAAATTCAGATGAATAAAGGATTCCTACAATTCTTAAATCTACTCAGAAGTGATTATAAACATCTGTCTTAATAAAAGTAAGCTGACTGATGCCAAGAATAATCAGCTACAGTACAGTACAATAAGAAACAAAGTTTACTGTCTAGCCTTCGGATGCACTGCCTCAAAGTATTCACCATAATGATTTAAAAACATAATATTTCATTAAAAATTTTAATGTCCTAGATTCAAAACATAATTTGCTTCCATACCTGAAAGTGTTAAAGCATTGGTTCAAAGTTGAAAAATGGGGGGGGGGGAGCAATGTGACAAATCCTCATTGTACAACCTAAACAATATGAGGTGGTTGCCAGAATGTCTGGCACAATGTTTTAGTGGTGACACTACCTAAGTTCTTAGTTTGTGATATCTCCTTAATTTCTACAACTTGAAGCATTGCTTATTTCTTTCTCTAAGAATTTGGAAAAAATAAAATAAGATTTGCAGTTATATGGGGGTGCTATGTTAAAGAGACTGACTTCCAATCTAAACAACATATGGGATCGCCAGCTTCAAAAAGCCTGGGGACCAATATTTTCCACCTGCAGACCAACTACGGGGCTGCATCAGTCCCCAAAATAAACAATTTTTAATGAAAAATCAAAACTGAATGATAGGGTTATGAACAGTTCGTTCTCGAACTTTTTCTCATTTGTTCTACATTCTTCTTCTTTATAAATTGCTTGTTTTAAAAGCACTATAGCCTGTTTGTCTGCTAAAAACACCTGCATTCAGAGTAATTCTCTCATTATTGGTTAAGCGCATCTGCCCTTCCAAACGCTTACTCTGAAGTGTGTTTTGGTGTAATTGTGTCTAAACACTAAAGATCTTTTAACAGTGCCGACATAACCTCGGGAACATTGTTATCTTTTAAAAAACTGCTGTCTTGAAGAGTGACCAGAATTTTCCAAGACTTGACAACCTTGATCAGGCAAGCGGCATTCTTAACTGGCATTATTTCCTATGGCTCTTTCAATGTCTGCTCCTGTTTTCAGCTGCCATGTGCTTGGTAAAGAAGTAGCACCAACTCGGCTATTCCTGGAAGTTAAGATAGAGAGCCCGCCAATAACTTTTATTCACACCCCTTGAACGGTCACTATACAAAGTTTTCTTGACAAATTACCCGAAGACGCGCCCACAACGAGCAGTCCCCACCCAACCCACTCCCTCCTCCTCCTCCTCCTCCTCCTTACCAGCTGAGGAGGAAGATAGCCAGGCTGAGCCCCAGGAAGATGCAGCCCAAGCCCGGGAAGCGGCGGCAAGTATCGCGCAACGCCTCCACTCGACGCAGGCACCGGGACAGCCTCTCCCCGGACTTCGGCCCCCCCCCCATGGCGCGAAC